CTAGCTATTAGGCCCAACCAATAGTCGGCCTGCCCTGGCCTACCATCTGGCCTGGTTGTTTGTATTTTTGTTAGCTAAATCAGTAACACATAGAATGTACTTTTAAAGACAATCGACAGATAACTGAAGCCTCTTTAGCATCTGTCGGTTGCCTTTAATAGCCTCAGTCAGGAGAATGCTGTTTTAATTTGTCTTTCGATTTGTATTTGCTTTAACCGTGACTTAGACACCCCCTTTACTTGAAGTATTTAAAAGAACTGACTCTTTCAGTTCCATGTAAAGCTGGCACAACACAAAAACAACAATTCTCTTGCCAAACAATCTTTTTGTTGTACAGAATTTGAAAATGGCTTTGAAAAACAAATTTTGAAACAAACTTAAGTTATTCATCTAGCACTCTTCGGAGTATAAAACGTCCGAACATAGATGGAAACTCTACGCTAAAATACCCAGTTTTGGATGGAAATAGGCCAATCTGAAAGTTTTGTTTCTATTGTTGAAAGGGACCTGCTGTTTTCTTATATCCCCCAATCTACAATTCCTACCAATTTCTTCAATTTTCATTTCAAAAACATGCCTGTTTTCTTAAGATTGAAAGATTCTAATCGCTACAAACGTACCTTTTGCTTAACTATCCTTATCCACATAGATCAAAGTTTATGCCTATCATAACAAAACCGCCCAACAAGCAAAAAGTTGATTGCAAAAAATGCAATGATGAAGAAATCACTGTTACAAAAATTGTACGTTTTCAGGGTTCTCTGAAATCGAAAAGGGCAAATGAATGGAAATTTTAGGGGAGCAATTCTCCCTTCGTGTTCTATTTAGAAGAGCAATTCAAAGCTCGCCTCAGGTTGCGAGGGGAGAGTGGAGGTGAGCGCAAGCTATTGCTCACCTCAAGTGGCCAGGCCTGTACCATTCTTTTAATTTTAGTAGGCATTGTTAACTCATTGTTCTTGTAAATAACATGTGTTGTAGACTTGCTGCAACAAAACTTTCTTGCAGTTTCAGGAAACAAATGAAATACTAGTCCCAAAATATTTATTGCTTCTCATCCTCTTTCTGGTCATTTTTGTGTTTTTGGCATTGAAACTAAAACATTGATATTTTTCATTCCTCCTGACATTTTGTTACTTTTCTTTCATAGAAAGGTAGGAAATAAACTGAATTTGTTAGCAGATGTGTCAACCCTCCCGGTTCGGCCGGGAGACTCCTGGTTTTGACTGCTTTCTCCTGGTCTCTCGGTTTTTCAAACTTTTCTCCTGGTTTCAAAGATGTCTAGCAGAATAGAATGTCTAGGAGGATTTATCACAGAATGTTCGATTGAACTGCTCATGTTATGCCTCAAAGACAGGTTCATTCATTGTGTATGTTTTCTTTTTACAGAGGTATAATTAAGATATAATGGTCACATTGACTTCCACATGACAACTACTTTTTGTAAGTGCTTACTGATTAACAAAAAAGTACTAAAAGTTATCATGAAGATAATTCTCATGATCACTTTTGTCATAAACTGTTTGCCGAGCACAACATTTTATCAGGTATATTTATTCCCCTAACTATATTTATTACTGTGATCTCCCTGTTTTTGACCAAATATCCCTGTTTTCCTTTAGGAAAAATCTAAAATCTCCAAGTTTTGAAAATTTAAGGTTGACAGGTCTGTGTTAGGAATCGCATTTTTGCTGACGCGATTTTCTAGAATCCCGCCAAAACAGCAAGATTTGTTCAATCAATGTTAGAATGCTAGCTTTGGAGCCGCCATTTTGTTATTAATCGTCCTAATACTTTTGTCGCGTAAGTATACATAAGGCATATTATTACGGTGGTGACAACATATTTAACTCGACTCGGTCATGTCTGTTTTCTTTTGTTTCTTATACACTTTATCAATGATGTTATCATTAAAACACCAATAAATGCAAGTCAATAATTACATTCATATCCTGCTTTTGAATCGTCACATAATTGACCAGAACACTGACTTTCTTCTTCTTTCGATTCGTCGATAACATGATGCATTTCATCCGCCATTTTCAGTCTCGATTGGAAGTAGACTTATTCAATTCAATAACGATGGAAACGAAAAGCTGTTATCACATGACTAGGAATGCAGTGGCTATTTTACTTTTCTGGTGGGTGGATTACAATAACCAAATAAAAATTTTCTTGAAATTCTGGAGCGAAATTACAACCCTATTTAGAAAGGATTGTGTATTGAATTTTGGATTATTATGCCTTCCCAGGAGTTTTGATATTATGTTTGCCACAACGCGGAACAAGGTGAGTCTGCTGAACCGACAAATGACCAGAGAATATTTGTTGCTA